GCCAAGCCTTACAACCTGAGTCTGAGGCACCTGAACCACATGGAAAGAGAGAACTGACTCCCACATTCAGACTGGTAGGAGCTCATGTACCTACATGCACACATGGCTACATACATGCACACATGGCGATGAACACACACAAAGTAAGAAAATGATAAAAAAAAAAAAAACCTTTGAGGAAAAACGTCTTTCTGAAGTTGCAAATTCCCCATGGTTATTGTATTTAGTCCTTTAATTGAGGATGAGAATGAGAAAGGCCAAAGTTCCACAACTATAATTACATAGATGCTGAAATGTAGTTAGTTCTTAGATACTAGGTTCTAATAAATGTTCTTGTTTGTTTTCTTTTGGCCTCTTTGAAACACATTTTGTTCTTTCTTTATGAAAGCTATGGAGAAAAAGTGGTCCTATGAACTCTGTTATTAGAGGTGTTCTTATTGTAGTTATGTCTGCTCTAAGATAGTGTCTTTTATATGGAACAAGGAAGATACACCCCAAATATCTCAACAATATGGTTGCCTAAACAAGACTTAAAAAAAAATGGACAGTACAATTGAAATGCCCACATGGAAGGAGGAATTCTCACAGGACTTGGTCTCTAGAAATATAAGAACTACAAGCAGTTGAGGGCTGCCGGGAGAGGGAGAACAAGCCCCTGTAGATTAGCTAATTCAAAGGGTCAGTCCTAAACACTCAAGAACACTGAATGATTGCAGAAGGCTGTGCTTATAAATTTACAAACACATATAACTGATAATTAAAGGCTAAGAAGCCATGGATTTGGGGAATCGGGGGTACATGGAGGGATTGGAGGGGAAGAATGCTGTAAATACTCATATAGGAAATTCTCAATACATAGTTTTTAAAAGGAAAAATAAATGTTCAAAAGAAGTCAGATTAATAAGACTTTGATTTCTCTGTATTCTAGCTGGGACAGGAGCAGGCTTTTGCTTCTGTGTCCTTTTCTCTCACCCAGAACATATACTTCAGTTAACATTGGCAGCCTCAGAACCCCATAAGCAACTCCGATTCTGGCAAAACGCATTTCCAGTATCAGTTCCCAAGCTGTCCACAGCGTTTCTCTGGCATAATGAAGCCTTTGGCCACCACTGCTACTTTGAAAATCAAAGCTTTTTGGTCTCTAATGGGATGTTTATAGAAATGCATCATTTTGAAATTTTGCTCAGGAAAAGGAAGTAATGTTAAATGATACTTAGAAATCCCTCTGGCTTGCCTTGGCGTTGCTTCATTTAATGTTATGTACTCTGGAAATATCTGGAATTAGTAGGAACAAAAGAGTGTTAAAACCAAAAGATAAATAAGCCCTTGGGTTCATTGTCTTATTTTGTGGAAGTATGTCATTATATGTATCTGCTTAGTTATTTCTGTGTGATAACATGTCTTTTGCCAAATTTAATAAAAGTGTCTTGGAATCAAAAAAACTTTGCTCACCCCTGTGTCAAAAATTCATCTATTCAGTCTTTTACTCAGGTGCAAAGGAAAGGTTTCTGGATGAGGCTGTAAGAATGCTAAGCCTGTAATTAAAAGGCTGTGCTATATAACGTCTGCAATAAAAGACTACATGCATTCCATTGCCTCCCTTGTTTAAAAAAAAGGAAGTCACGTTTATGTATCAAGTATATTTAGTGTAATGATTTGATGAATATCATACTATTTACATGTAAACGGACAGAGGATTTAGCTTATTCATCCTCTGGTGTTGGCTCTTCCTTAATGAGCTAATGTACCTTAAAGTAGGAGACTGATGCTGATAGAAGATGTTTAGCAAGGGATTCTTCTAAGAGTCTAGCAGTGAATGTAGACCTAGAGGCCTCCTGTGTCCCACCCCCGGCTCATCAACTGTAATAGAGGAGCCAGAGGACAAGTCACTTCCCAGGCTTTGACTATACATTCTGTCAGTTTGCACATTAGCATGCTATGAAAAATTCCCATCACTCAGTATTATGTTTATAAAGTGTTAAAATAAAACTTTGGGGTTCTGAAATTATTGACCTTTTAGAAAACAGCCTGACTTTTTCAATGAGCTGTGCTTTGCCTGTCCTTTTTTTTTGGGGGGGGGAGTAGAAACCTTCTTGTGAGTCTTTTATTTTTTACTTTATTTATTCTTTTCATCCTGACCCCACCCACTTCCCATCCCTTCCACCCCCTGCCCATACAACCCTCAGAATAATAAAACAAAATAAAATTTAATAGAAAGGGGGGGGAGAGAAATGGGAAATTTGTCATGGAAACTGCAGTGTGGCATAGTGAGTCACACAGTAAACCCCTTTATCCATACACCTTTACATGTAGGCGCTCATCAAAACGAATCATTGATCTTGAGGCCCCTGGTGTCTGTTACACCTTCAAAACTGGGCCCACTCAGGGGCTCTTCCTGGACATCAACATATAACCCTGGTTCTGGGCCTGGGAAGTTGCAGCGTTGATCAGCCCAACACTCTCTGTCTTCAGCACTAGGGTGAGCTCTCCAGCATTGCCCTGGCTCGATCACCCCTTGCAGCAGTGAGCAAGGGAAGGGGCCAGTTCTCCTATATCCAAACGCCTGTCCTTCTCAGTATACTGAGACATTCAGATGCTGATGTCTGTTAGTTCCCATGGCACTTCAGCTTTTCTCTCCAAAATATAATACAAAAAAATTATGACTAGGAATATCACTGACTTCATCTCGGAACCTTTATATGTCTTTAAAAAACATAATTGAATGGGCTTGGGAGATGGCTCAGTGAGTAAAAGCTCTCAGTGGGCAAGAGGGGATCTGAGTATGGGTTCCCAGCACTCATAACAAGCTTTGCCTGGGCACATATGCTGCTGGTGGAAGCAGAGACAGGGGGACCACTGGAGCTTGTTGGCCAGTCTAGCCAGAATACAGCATGCTCTAGGTTTTGTGAGAGCTCCTATCTCAGCCAATAAGGCAGAAAAGGAGAGGATATCCAATGTTCTTTGGCCTCCACACATACACACATACATGTCTATACCACACACACACATTTGGAAGCATCCCTTATTTGCTTCTAGTTCGCATTGACATCCTTTGGTAGCATCTGATGTACTATCTAGTAGCATTACTTGATTTTAAATCATTTACTCTTTTTTATGTGAAGATATCCGTGTTATGAAGTCTGAACTTTAAAACAAACCTCTGAGTAAATGTAAGGCTGTCAGTTTTGCTCTTTGCATTAAAGAAACATGCTCCACAGTTTTTCCATTTAAAAACATGCAGGTTGATTATGGCAGAATAGTTTCAATCAGGAACTCACAAACATGTTTGCAGAATGCACTCCAAAGTCTCTGGCCACCTTTCTGATGTTCTCTTGCAGATCTACAGCTCTGCCATAGATTATATTTAGAAGCCAAATTTTTTAACAAAGAAAAACTTGTGTTATTGCTTAACCAGATGATCATAGTAGAAAACTTTGTCTTCAGACAAAGGTTTGCTCCTTTAGTTTTTGTTTTTATTATGTCTGTTGCTTTTGTCTTGCGTTTTAGAAGTTGAAGGCAGTGTGCTCTGGGAGTTGAGTTAATTGCAGTGAGCAGATCAATAGTCAGCAATCAGGTCTTTTAAAGCCCTTTCTATCCTGAGATGTGATGATTCTATATTTACCTTTGCTCTTGCTTTTTTTCTGTCAGTAGCAAGAGAGCAGAGAACCTGTCAGCACTATGCTGGAGAGAAATTGGGCCAGGGGGTTAGGAGATGACAGGCATTGGATGGCTGTCTAGAACATGTGGTTGACTACAAGGTACAATTTCTCTTGGTTCCTTGTGCTCATACAATATAATGTGGATACTTTTCTTTAGTTGCAATTATTTTTGTAACTAGGAAGAAAGGGATGAAAAAGACAGCAGTTTTTAGAAGATACCGTCTCAAATACCTTTCTGCAAACAGACAGCTCCCAAATTCTTAGAGATGGATTAGATGGAAGTTATCAGGAAACTGGCTAAAGCTCTGAAGAAGTTTAAGAAGTTAAGGGATTTCTCGTGATCTCCTATGCAAGCAGATTCCTGTAAGAGTTCTCCACTTTCATCAGATAGATTAACTTAGGCATTTAGTGTGTTTTTGAGCTGCAATAATCTTACTCAGTCCATACCTCCAGCCCCAGATGTACCCTAAACCTGTACTAGCTGCTGAAATTGTTTTCCCAACTGAACTGTACCCATTCTGGACAGAATAATGGAAAATAGATAGTACCGGGCAAAGAGTGAATTTTTGATGTTCTTTCTAGTTACTCTCAAATATTCCATTTGAGAAAGTATAAAAATATTTTTATGCATAGTATACTGGAACTTCGTATTTCAAAGTTGGAAGAAATGAGATTGATGTCCTATACAGTTGTAAAATGCCTAAAATAAGGAGAGCTGAAATGAATTAAAGCCTAGTGTTGAGAAAGGCCAAGAAAAAGCTTCATATCAACAGTGACTGTAATTGAAAGGGCCCAAATAAGTATTTAAAACCTCCCCTCCTGAGACGTCTAGGATTTCTGAATTTCAAATTGACATTTTATGTTTGACAAGGTGACATTGTATAAGAAATGTATTGTAAAACACTGCTGTACGATAGGAAAATGATTGAATGTAAATATTTCAAGATGTGGACCACTGTTCAAATGTTATCATAAATCTTTGCCATTGTTTTAGGGGATAACTCTTCATGCATATGTGAGCTGGATTGATAGCTAGCTCTTGGAAAGGAAGTCATCAGTGGATTTCTGCCTTTGTCTCAAATATTAGTCTGACTTTACACTAAAATGTCTAATTAGATTTTTTTCTGTTTCGTGCTTAATATTACTCATTATGTAAGTGCTATCAATTTTTCAAGACGCTAAACTAGCATCGCTTTTGTCCTTTTTAGTAAAGGTTTTGAAATGTCACTATTACATGATTTGAACTGTCACTGATAGATACATGGACTAGGTCAGCTTGTGTTTGTTTTACAAAGAAAACAACCTGAGCTATATCATTAACCATTCGTCTATTCTTTTCAGGTTTGGAAGGTTTACAGTTGCTGCTCTTCAGTCCAAAGTAGAACAGTACGAACGTGAAACCAATCGCCTCAAGAAAGCTCTAGAACGAAGCGATAAGTATATAGAGGAACTGGAGTCTCAAGTAGCACAGCTGAAACGTTCAGACGAGGCAAAGGAAGACATGGGTGCCCTTTGCCAGGGGGCACCCTCTGAGGATGGCAAGGGACCCAAAGGCAGTGATGAGGTCGTGGCACCAAAGAATCAGGGTGGCAGCGCCAGGAAGCAGGCTGGCTCAGCCACCTCTCCTTCAGCTACTCACCTCACAGCGCCCAGTGGCAGACTCACTGCCAGCAGTTCTGTCAGGCAGGACAGCACCAGCAAGACTGAACCAAACTGCCCCAAGAACAAAGACAGATGCCCCAAGCCCACAGAGATGCTGCTGGGCATGCAGGAGACGCCAATGGAGGCTTATTTGGAAGGAGAGTGGGGCAGTAAGCCAAGTGACTGTGCACCCTACAAAGAGGAAGAGGGGTATGACCTCCCCGCTCCCTGCACTCCTTTGTCCCTCAGCTGCCTTCAGCTAAGCACTCCAGAAAACAGAGAGAGCTCTGGAATCAAAGCAGGGAGTTCCAAAAAGCATGCAAACCATCTCAGAAAACTGGTGTTTGATGATTTTTGTGATTCTCCAAATGCCTGTAATAACAATTCAGAGGATGGTGGAAGTAGAAGTGAAAATGAAAAGAAATCAGACCGTTTTGCTTCCCCAAAGACAGGATTTTGGGATTGTTGCTCCACAAGCTATGCCCAAAGCCTGGAGTTTGACAGTTCAGAGGGGAACACTATAGCAAATTCTCTTGGAGAAATACCTTCAAAACTGAGTGAGAGGTCAGGATCGTGCTTGTCCAAGAGACTAAATTGTATTCGCTCTCTTGAAATGAACCGGACAAGAACATCCAGCGAAGCATCCATGGATGCTGCTTATCTTGACAAAATCTCCGAGCTGGATTCCATGATGTCGGAATCGGACAACAGCAAGAGCCCTTGTAGTAACGGTTTTAAGTCAGTGGAGTTGGAGGGGTCCTCAAAGTCCCCTCGAGGCAGTGAGTTCCTTGAGGAACCTGGCAAGTTGGAAGAAGGAACTAAACTGAATCTTTCCAAACATGCTCTTGCTACTGATCAGTTAGAAAATGGAAGTGAGTGGAAACACACTTCTTTTTTTCTCCTCTCTCCATCTGACCAGGAAATGAGTGAAGAGTTTTCTCTCCATACCACTTCTAATTCAGGAGCTAGTGAAATCAAACCCCAGGGCTGTCTGTTTCAGACAGAGTTTTCCCAGGGTGTTCTGTTAAGCGGTTCCCATGGACTATTTGAAGATCAGAGGTTTGGGTCTTCTTTATTTAAGATGTCTTCAGAGATGCAGAGCCTTCACAGCCACCTTCAGTCTCCGTGGTCCACCTCCTTTGTACCTGAAAAGAGGAGTAAGAATGTGAGTCAGTCAACAAAAAGGAAGATACAGAGCAGCCTGTCCAACGCCAGCCCGTCCAAAGCAACTAAAAGCTGACTCACCAGAGCCATCCTTGTGGCTTTGTCCTGAAAGGGGTGTGGATGCTTTTAATGTTACTGTAGTCACTTCATGAAGATTCTGTACAGTCCTGAACTGATAATCTTCAGGAAAGTGTCAAGTCAAAGAGGTGTGTACCCTGAGTCCAGGGTACTTCATCTGGAAGAAACTGTGGGCTTTTCATTGGTGATCTTTCTTACCAGAGAGGTTAGAGGAGGGTTGCATCTGTCTCTGTATTGTTTATTATTTTGTTGTAAATGAATGTTGTATGTATCTGAATTGGCTGTATGTTGTTTTCTCATATCTTATTTAACTGCTAGGTATGGTGGCCTGTTAACTGTCTTCAGAACTTGTTTCTTGGAGCTTTCGGTATTGTCTGGACCATTCTTTAAAGCTATTCCTAGAGTGGAAATGATTTTGTATGTCCTTTTTTATTTATGTTTAGTGGTGGCCTAATTTTTATGCAAGGCCATGCTGGAGAAATGGCACTCACTCTGACCTTGGAGTATTCACTGACTTTTTCTTAGGTTTTGCATAGTTGTTTACAGCCTGTTTCATTGTGTTCTGTCCTCTCTCTCTCTCTCTCTCTCTCTCTCTCTCTCTCTCTCTCTCCCTGTGTGTGTGTCTGTGTGTCTGTGTGTCTGTGTGTGTGTGTCTGTGTGTGAAAATGCTCTGCTAGTATGAAAAAACATTTTTTGTATGAAAATACTTTTTCAGGTAGTTTATATGTGTTCATCTTTGAGAGAGAGAGAGAGAGAGAGAGAGAGAGAGAGAGAGAGAGTAGTTAGAAATCATTATGTATTGGAAAGCAAGCACAGATCAGTTGGGTTGGGAGGAACTTGAACATCCCAGCTTCATTTTCCAGATATATAGATAGAGAAGCAGTCTGTTCAGTGTTTGATCCATTGTGTCACAGGAAGCCTTTTATGGGATAAAGTTCTTGTTTGCATGTTACTGCTCATTGTGGGAACTTAAGCATGGGAGCCCTTTTGCTTGCTCCATTCTCCATCCGGAGGAAAAAGAAGCTCCTACTGGCTAGTGAAATATCAATTATGTAGGACCTTTTTTTGGGGGGTGGGTGAAAAGTAACAGTGGGAATGGGAATATGTAAGAGCTAAGCACAACTTTTAGTTTAGCCTTTAAAAACTATTTTAAACATGTTTGTTATACCCATATAGGCTGTAAAAATGAATCTGTATGCTAATAACTTACCTAATGTGCACTGAACGTTTTACATGTATTGTCGTACCTTAACACTGCATGGTTTTCTATGTGAATTGAATAAAGAATGCCATACGCCCTACATGTCTTTGATGTCATCTCAGCTAATGAACTAGCCTCTCAAGACCTCAAATACTGTTTTCAATTCATTTTAAAGTATAGCAATTGACCAACTATGGACTTAGGTGCCTCTGTGTATTTGTGGTGCAGAGGCTGGAGCCCAGGACCAGGTGGACACAAGGTCACTGCTGGACTTTTGAGAAGCAGCCTTACCTGCACCTGTTTGTGAAAGGTCTATGAGCAAAGCAAAAAAAAAAAAGTTTTATAATGTTCCCACATTTTTAAATAAAATTGTCCCATGCCACAAGAAAATTTTCTGAAATTGTGTTTCAGAATAAAGACTTACTCAAATGAAGTGTCTGCCGGCGCCTGAGAGAAGCAGGAGAGTGGGATACTTGCAACAGTGACTGACTCGAAAGGCCTAAAATATGTACTGTCTGCCCTTTTCCTTAAGAATTTGCTGACCCTTGTTATAATAGACTCTGAGGATTCAATGAACCATAAAAAATACAACAAATCACTTTTATGATCTAGAGAATCATGTTCTCCACTTTTAGATGTAACAATAACCAAGGGGGAGAAAAGCTAACAGGGTAGTATTTGTTTTATCATACATATTTTCCAATAATTCATTTCTTTGCCATGGTAAAACTAATGGGTAGTTTCAGAGCTAGTGGCAGTTTAATCATGTTTGATGATACAGTTATCTATACATTTAGAATTCATGTAGAAATTAAGGGGATTTTTTGTCATTTTAAATATAAGAGTGTAGTAGTCTAGATAACCCCTCAAATTACATATATTGAAATCTAATCCCAAGGTAATATTAAGAGCTGGGACCATCAGAAGTGATTATGTCATAAAGGAGTGGTATTAGTGACTTTGCAAGCAATGTGGAGGGCACTTGCTTGCCTCTTCTAGACATAGCTAATAGCCGCCATCTTTGCAGTCGAGAACAGGCCCATATCAAACACTATCTTCTGATGCCTCGGTTCTAAACTTTCTAGCCTACAAGACTCCAAGACAAAGAAATTAACCCTACAAATTCCATAATCAAGAATGTGTCTTTTTAATCAATTTGCATACCATCATTATGCCCTGGAAGTTGAAATTTGTTGGGCCAGAATATTTCTTAGATGCTTACCTTCAAAAGCATCTTTCATCCCCTCTAAAACAACATGTATTTGTGTATAATTAAAACCATTCTATTCCTCAGCTAAAGGGGATAATTGTAAAAGATTTGACTTTAATCGCCTTCTTACCTCCCTTACTCTCAGTATCTGATTTCATAACAGACAGGTAGTGTCACAGATTTTCAAATATGCATGCTGTGTCCACTCCAAACAAAACACACTGAAGGGTTGGGGATGTAGCTTGTGGGTCCTTTCCTGGCGTGCCCAGTGGCCTGACCTATGTTCATCCCTGGACCTGTGTAAATCCTATGTGTTGGAGCACGCTGTTGACCCCAGCAGTTGGAAGGTAAGAACTAGATGCTCACAGTTCAAAGGCCGCAGGAGAGATGGCTCAGTGCTCAAGAACAGTAGTTGACCTTCTAGAAAATCTCTAATCCATTCCCAGCACCCAGGCAACTGGGGGTGGGGGTGGGGATCAGATGGCCCCTTCTGGCCTCTGGGAGCACCAGGTTTGCATGTGGTCCACAAACACTGGCAAAGCAACCATACACATAAAAGTGATTTTTTTTTAAGTCCAAAGCCATCCTTAACTATGTATCAAGTTAAAGGTTGCCTGCAGATACAGGAGACTAACTAAAAAGCAAACAAAACCCAAAACACTTGAAGCCAAATTTTTTCTAGCCTTTATTTCATATAATCTGCTTTCAGAACTTGCAATTTGTGGAAAGCCAAGCAGAGTTAGTGAACACAAGGCTGGAATGGTAGGGAACCATAGCTTGGAGCTGGATGTCCAGATGCAGAGGCCATTATCTTCCTCATCCACATTGGTACCCCTCCACCCCCCCCCAAAAAAAAGAAAGAAAAATGTGTTAGAGATTTCTCAAGGGTTCTTTTTAAAGTGTGTTGGGAGTATTCGTGTGCCTGTTTCCCTGAGTCTAATCTACACTAAAGTAGCATGCAGCATGTGTATAGCACTGTTAAATTTGAAGGTTTTCATTAGTAGGCACACTGCTTAGCACACAGTGCTTCTAAGGGTTCACATTAACTGACATTTATGAACTGGACTTTTCCTGAAAAGGGTAACAGTTGTCCAGTTACAATTGACATGGATGGTTTGTGTTTTTATAGGAACAGCTTTAGATTGTTAATCTCTAAAAAGCTGTGTCTACATGCTGTCTAAACTAGGTGTTAGGGACTTCTTGTTATGATAGTATAGTCCTCTTAATTAAAATCTTCATCCCATTAACAAATTAAAAGGTTTATTGAATCAGCTAACACACACACACACACACACACACACACACACACACACACACACACCTGAAAGTAGAGGACTAAGCTTTACAGCCCCCTGGTTTCTAATCTGCATTGCTTTCCTCTCTTTGCTGTCATTGGCTTGAAACAAAGGCACAGACCTTGGTCTTGGGCTGTGCAATGTTTCAGGACCATATTGTTTCTGCAGACCTGATGATTTCTAGTTATTAAAAATGTAGCACATACTGCCTCATTCTGTACCTGTGGAGGGTATGTGCAGAGAGTATCAAATCGAAATTAACAGTTCATGGTGTGCGGCCTGTTAGACGGGGAGAGTTTCCCAAGGCCTCACAGAAGGTCTTCCATTCCTGTCTGTGGGAGTCCTACAAAGCAGCCCTTGCCTATCGCTGTGTAACCCGATCCCCTTAATAATACTTGGCAGCGAGAAAACCTTTTAAGCAATGATCTCAGAGTGCAGAGTGAACATTTATTGCCTAATTCTCGGAACCCTACTCACGGCGAGGAAGCGCCTATTAAGGTTCAGAGTTAAGAATCCATCTGAAGCACAGTTAGGGCGAGCTCAGTCTGGCGAGGCTGAGTTGCAGTACCTCTTTTTCAGAGAAGCTCTTGGGTCCCGTGATAGAGAGCAGCAGGCTGTCTCTAATAAAGGTTGGTTGGATTAAACTTTTGTGTAGAGCTCAGGGCTTTCTGTGTTAGTTAGGGTACAAAGACCCATTCTCCAAAGGGTAAAGATTTGCCTCGGGCTTTTACCCAAACTCGTGTGCGGAGAGAGGGTGGAATTTGGTCCTATTTGATTCTTACAATGGTGGGCGATGGGGACGTGTGGAACTTTCACAGAGGTGCTTTCCCCTCAGAGTCTTGAAGAGGGCCTCTCTTGTGCTTGTCTGAAGGGGGAAATGTCTTTTAGCAGCCTTCTTGGAAGAGGTCCTGAAGGCAAGGCTCCTAACGACAAAGGGTTTCCGGTATTGCTCCAGCCACAGCTTTCAAGTGGAGCTTTGCTCCTCCTCTTCAGAGTCCCCCAGAGACTCTGGGTCTCGCTCTGGCTGCCTCAACCGGCGGCCTGGTGACGAGACAGCGGCTCCCTAGGCGCAGGAAGGCTTTGGAGATGGCGGGGCGCTATCTGCTGTCCATTAAGCCGAGGCTTGGCCCTCTGAGGGCTCGGAGGTCATCCGAGTGTTTAGGGTGAGGAGGTGTGGTCTGGCCCAGCCAGGCAGCAGCTAGCTCATCCCTAGGAACTCAGCCGTGTGGGATTTCTGCCAGCTTCCCCTCTGCCGAGCCCTCCCCTGCCCAGTCACTAGGGAGGACCCACCATCATCCCTAGGAACTCAGCCGTGTGGGATTTCTGCCAGCTTCCCCTCTGCCAAGCCCTCCCCTGCCCAGTCACTAGGGAGGACCACCATCCCACCATCCATCCCTCCAGCCCAAGTTTCCCGCGCTCTTGAGAGCGCTCTTAGCTCGTCCTTCCCAGGCCTTATTCCACCAGCCGCTGGTCCTGTGGTTTCCTTTCATTTTATTATCACTCGGAACCTGGCGATTAAGACGCGAAACCAACAAAGAGTTTTCTTTCCACCTTAACCTTGCACACAATCCTTTAACAAATTAATTAATCCTAATGAATTAACACTTCATTTATTTAAACGCGCTACAGTCCATGAATTAAATTTTCATGCAGTGATTAAAGGCTGTTAAAATATGCATGATTTCGTTAAAATTTTATAATAAATCAGGGCAATGTGTTACATGACAAGGCAACTATTTCCCAGTCCCTCGCAAGGGGCTTTGATTTGTGCGGGCGGCGGGAAGGAGGGGCGGCTGGCGGCAGGGCGAGCGGTAGAGCCGGGCGGCAGGACCCAGCTCTGCACTCCGGGCTTGGACTGGCTGCCTTGCGGTTTCCTCCACGGCTTCCAGACCCCAAAGGGGTCCAGCCTCTGGAGGCCGAGGGGAGGCAGCAGAGGTCGAGCGCGCCCTTCTCCATCCTCCGAATGTCCCTTGGACGGAACTGCTGGTCCTCGCATGGCCGGTAGCACCCTGAAACAGAGGGAGTGTGTGTCCCGGACCCAGCGGCTGGTCAGCCGGTGTCTGACACAGGAAGGCGGCAGAACTTGCATCGTGTCGCGTGGGGTCAGGGGCTAGCGTACCTGAGGACGAGTTTGTTTGTCGTTGTTATTTTAACCCGGGAACCTGGACGCTCCTTCCCTGAGCAGCGCTCTCCTCCAGCCTTGAGCCTGCAGGGCTCAGACAGAGCAGTGGGAGCCTCTATTCTTCAGGGTCCTAAATCACAGGGCCCGTTGGCCTTGTTTACTGGACAGCAGTGGTCATTTGGCCTGCAAAAGTAACAGTGTCGACTGACAGGCAGGGAGGCCCAGCACCTGTGAGGGGTGTTCCCTCACAGGGATCTCCGGGAGGGTTTCCTAAGGTAGGTGGGTTTGATTAGAGATTAGGGTGGAAATAGACGAAAATCTGTATATAATGTATCCAACGCTGAGCGCAGAGTGACCTGTAATGGCCTTACTTGGAATGCCCAATCCTGCTCTCAAGGTCATCTTTGGGTGGGGAAGAGAGAAGGGGGGGGTCATGGCCTTTTCCACTGTTTTACTTAAGAACTCCACCGTGGTC